ATATAGCATATATACATTAAATTCAACATCGAATGCATAATAACCTAGCGACTTCCACAAATTAGAAAATATGATACCCACTGTTTATTTTTCAGAAACACTAAGGTATAGTGCGCAGACAAGACAATGATCCAGGATAGCGTAACAGTCGAACATCGTGCATATCTCAGCGCACTTTGACGGAGGTGCAACATTATGACTCATACATATATTTGTCACTATTAAAGAACCAATACACAAATAAAATAAGCTAGTACATATACTTTTGACAGAACCAATACACAAATAAAATTACATATACTATTGACGGAGCAATACGCAACGATAGATTGTGTTTGAAGGACGGCTCGAGTGGGATGTATTGTGTGGTGTGTATGTACAGATCTGCACATGTAAAGAACAGTTCAAGTTTAGTTCCTCAATTGAGTTCGAACTAACTACATTGGAGAGTTATATAAACCGGGAATCTGATCTACAGCATTGTCTTTTAGAAGCGATATATTTTTCGATGACGGCACAAACGAGTAGAGAACGGTAGCCAGAGTTCAGAAGTCTTTAGTATCAAATAGGTCACCAGGATATTTGAAGTGCCCGGTTTTATATCCATCACTTTTTATATATATAAAAAAATCATATTATTGAAACGAGTCCAGCATGAAGATGTACAGTTGATAGGGCCAATGAATGAGAATATATATACGCTTTAATCAGCTAGATACAATTACAAAAAATGAATTTAAATTCCTCCCATCCAATGAATGAGTATATATATATATATATATATACGCTTTAATCAGCTAGATACAATTACAAATTGTGGATTAGAGTGCCTCTTGTTGTAACCGTTCACCTCCCCCACCTACACTCGATAGAGCATTGTCGAGATTACTATTTTCGCGCGCATTTTTCATGGTTGCTCCTTTCTTGTCCGTGAACAGGAGCTGAACTTCTTCCAACGACAAACCCTTTGTCTCCGGAACATAGAAGTAGGAGAAGATTACACCTACAAGAAACAATAAGTGTGGGACAATGTTATCTCCACTGTAGTAGCGTCTGGGTATTAAACAAATGAATAGAAGATTACACCTACAAGAAACAATAAGTGTGGGACAATGTTATCTCCACTGTAGTAGCGTCTGAGTATTAAAGAAATGAATAGACGATTACACCTACAAAAAACAATAAGTGTGGGACAATGTTATCTCCACTGTAGTAGCGTCTGGGTATTAAATAAATGAGTAGACGATTACACTTACATAAAACAATAAGTTAGGACAATGTTATCTCCACTGTAGCGTCTGGGTATTAAACACGTGGGTTACCAAGTCATAGAGAGATTGTGCGCCCAATAGCAATACATAGAAGCGTTCGTGCAATGAGGATATTCTCACAGTGGAACGTTAGAGACATCGGAAACTATCAGATGGAAGCAAGCCATAGCTCCACTAGTAGCAGACAAGTAACAAACGGAATGATATAACAAGCACAAGTTTCGCATGCAAGCAGGGCAGACCTACCACACACGCACCATACCTGTAAAGCCGATGCCAGAGAATACGTAAAAACTCGCGGGCGCTCCTACCAAATCCGTAATGAGTGGGAATAGCGCGGCAATCGTTCCTGTGACAGTAGCAGATACAACATGATATGAATCGGTGATAGGACCGTTGCACAGCTCCAATCGGAGGACTGTAGGTGAAAGACCCCACCACAACCAAAACAGAGTCATACGCAGAAACAAGTGCAGCAATCGTATAAAACTGGTAAGAGTATATGTATGTACATACATACACGTAATGACATGTAGACAACACTGATATACATATACATAAGCATATACATGTACATACACACACACTCAAATATATAGAAAAACATACCTGAAACCAGGCGATTCAGGAACAGACCAAATGCCATGGCCCTCGCACGGATGCGCTGATCATACACTTCCGAGCCCAACACTGTAGGCAACGGACCTAACCCCAGCTCAAATAGGATCATAAACGAGCACAGCAGCAACACAGCAAGCACAGACAGACCGGCTGAGGTGGATAAGCCTAGACCCAGCAAGCACAGGGATGTTCCCAAGCACGAGACTATGGCTGTGGGACGACGACCCTACGAAAGGGAAGTATGGAGTGGTAGGTATGGCCTGAGGATGATTGGCATGGAAATGCATGAGGGGTCTGTACACGTGGAGTGAGGTGTAGGGAAGTGTTCGAGGTTTGTATATTCAAATGTGTAGGCATACCTACCGCGCGCTGAGGATGTTTTATCAGAAACCCTGCATATGAAACCCTGCATATGTGTAACATAAACCCTACATATGCTTATCAGAAACCCTGCATATGTATAGAAATATACGAACATCTGTATAGGTGTGCGCCTCAACACAGCAAGGACTTGTCACATACATACACACACACACATATATATATATACATATACATATATATATATATGTTTACATGCTGCGTATATAAACCCACTCAGAAAACATTTGTCCACACAGAACGCCCCACAGCTGTACATCCGGGGGTAGAAACACACACCTGGTCTTCCACAGTGTACGCTGCCACACACGCGGCAGAGAACTTCGCAAACCCAACGGCCATGGTCATGAGCAGTACGGTGTTGTCCTGCTCATCCTCGCCCAAGCCAGCATTGACCAGGATGCTGGGTGTGTAGTACACCACAGCCTCCGACCCACTGATCTGCTGGTACAGCTAAAACCATATTGTTCGGGAATGCGTTAAGCACGCTACTAACTGGCTGGCAACTGGTAACGGGTAAGACGCTTCAGAATATGCAGCTGACACGTGTGCACACGGTACGTTCACCAGCCACTGCGAGCATAGGATACCACCAGCTCAGACACATAACCCTAAACCCTAAACAGTATAGGTGAGTGACTCAAGAAAGTAGACACAGGGGTGTCTATGCACAACTGCCACGGGCCACAATTACTACACACTCGCCTTACTATACCAAAGCAATACTCTACCTGCCGAGGCCTATGCAATGTCAATACAAATAAAAAAACAAAAACAAATACATTCCGTTCAAGCTTCAGTCTTCTACATCACACACACACACACACACACACACATACTGCGATCCCCACTCCGGCCGTCAGCGCGCGTTTGGTAGTGGCGTCGGGACACAGCACATCCGTCCACCTGCCCTCTGGGTGCTTGGCCTCTTCTTCTAACATCTGATCGATATGATTCATATGGTACTTCACCAGGTTCTCCTCCTTATAGATGCCTTTAAGCGTTACCTTAGCCACCTCACGTCTGCGAGGTGAGGGTGTGGGTAGGTGTATCGGTGGTGAGGTCGAGTATAGTTGGGGTTGGGTCAGTCTATGCATGAGTTATTGTGTGATATATATCAGGTACAGGTTGACTAGACTGTCCTCCTTCTCGTTGCCGTATGCCGTTAACTCAACTTGCGCACCATGGCGATTGGTACGCTGTTACGGGACATCATGTGTGCATGTATGTGTGTGTGTGAGAGTGAGTATACAGGTGACATGGATGTGAAAGATTCCGGAACATGTTTACAAAAGGCGAGTGCCAGGGTTGTTGGGGTGCTGTCCCCTTCTTTCGGCATTTGCGCAGTATAATTCATGCGATGGCTGACTAAGTCTTGGTCCTTGTGAATGCGTTGGAGTGACCCTGAGCACCACTATAGCTGTCACGGTCTTCAGAGGACATTCTCATGAGTCATATAAACACGCAGAAACATACGCACATACGCACATACACAACACAGACACACTCTCTCTCTCTCACTCTCACACACACCCTCACTCACACACGCACTCGCTCTTTCTCTCACAAACACACACATATATATATCCATTCCTACATATATGTATCTTCATACCTGCCTTCAGACGCCAGCCATCGGGGTGTTTCAGGTATGAAAGGCAAGCACATAAGAGTGGCTACAGGTACAATCACGGCCACACCAATCATCAAACGCCAATCCCACGAGTCCGGTAGCCCATTCAGCGCCCACGCCAGAGTGTAACCCATGAAGACACCGAAGTTAATGCAAACCTCAGCCACAGCCACCTGATGTGGTATACGGTAGATAGATATGAGGGTAACCGGAAACACAATGCGGTTTATACGATCATATATATATATATATATATATATATGCTGCTACTTTCCAATGCTACGTTGTACTAAATCGACTTCCAATATCAATGAAAATTGATCTGGCCGCCTTTCTTTATGTGGTTCGAGCAAGCAAGAATAAATAAGTAAACAATCAATAGAGTATCACGAATATACGCTGGCGCTATCTCTACGCACACAAGAGGAGAGAGGCCACAGTTGCATAGCTTACACACCCAGGACAGTAACAAAGCCCACCGCACACTCCCTGTCCATACAACCACAATCACAGTCAATACAGAAGCACAGCACAGTATGCAGCTACCAAGCATACATGAAGAGGTAATATAAAAGTAGCACGAATATATCATGGCATATATATATATATATATATACCTACAGACACACACACGCACATATATATATATATATATATATATCACCACAAGCACACGAACCCCAACACACAACACTCAGCCAATGACAAATGAATAATACCTACCAAGGTACCCCGAATATGCGACGGGGCTATCTCGGCCGCGTACAGAGGAGCCACCACAAAAGCATACCCTGCACCCAAGCCAGTGATGATGCGACCAACCATCAGTTGTGCGTATGTGGTGGTGGTTGCCATTAGCAACGGCCCCAAAATCAGCTGTAGCGTGGTGACGCCCAGAGCGGTCTTTCTACCGTAGGCATCGCATACCTATGGACGTGTTAGTATTATGGCGGT